ATAGATTAGACAAGTTCAAAATAGTTGAAAGTTTCATTAATCTAGAACTACATCTGACCAAAGAATCAGAAATACAGTACAAAGGAAACATAAAAATACACAACAATTATGAATGCATACAAAGGCCATTTTTGCCAGCTTACTCATCCCATCTTGCTGAGTTTTGTCCTTCTCATCTATCCTTTCTCCTGTGCCTGCTTAGGTCCTCTCTCTCATTAGTTCCTTCATCCCAGGTCTTCTCCCCTCACCACCCCTGCACTTATGCAATTCCTTCTTCCTCTAGTGCCTCCTGTCTGTCTCCACCCAACCACAGTCTTTTATTTCCTTTTTCTGCCACCATTCAAATTGGGGTGTTTCCTTCTGACTGGCTCCCTAAATATTTTAGTCTTCCCCTTGGTAATAACCTTGTTCCATTCTTTGCCTTGCTGTTCCAGACAGCTAAGCAAATTTGGTTCCCTAAAATTATTACCTGTCTTGACCCTGGGTTCTTCATTGCTAGACATTTGTTCATGTTCATCAACTTTCTATTTAAAAATCTTGCCCAGGCATTCTCTGTGTGCTAAGCGCTTGCTTATTCTGCTGCTTGTAGCAATGAATCCCGTGATAAAGCCTCATGATTCCATGTTCCCATAATTTTGAGTCCCCTTGATTTTTTCTATACCCAGAAAACAATTTGTTGGCTATATAAATATGTATAAATATCCACATGCTGTTCTGGTCTTACACCCCCACCAGATTCTTTCCCTTTTCATTTAAAAGTCTAATACATGGGACAAAGCTTGCACTTACAGAAATGAACTTTGCCCCCTACCTCATCACCCACTGAGCTTCCTATGGGCACCCCTGGCATCTTTGTATGCAGAAAAAAAAAATGTGTGAAGCACATTGAGGTGTAGAGTGACTGTTTGGGGAAATAATTCACCACACAGAAAATGGGGAAAAGTATTATACTGTAATAACATTAGGTAGTAAAAGGAGCCCTGGACAGTTAAGTTCAGTCAAATCTGACTATAGTGGTACCTCAGGTTAAGAACTTAATTTGTTCTGGAGGTCCATTCTTAACCTGAAGCTGTTCTTAACCTGAGGCATGCTTTCGCTAATGGGGCCTCTCACTGCTGCTGTGCCACTGGCACGCGCTTTCCATTCTTATCCTGGGGCAAAGTTCTTAACCTGGAGCAACCACTTCCTGGTTAGCGGAGTTTGTAACCCGAAGTGTCTGTAACCTGAGGTACCACTGTATGGGGTTGCAGCGATCATCTCACTTCAGGCTGAGGAAGCGGGCGTTTGTCCACAGACAGCTTTCCAGATCATGTGGCCAGAATGACTAAACTGCTTCTGGCGCAATGTGACACTGTGACAGAAACCAGAGTGCACGGAAACACCGTTTACCTTTCCGCTGCAGTGGTACCTATTTATCTACTTGCACTGGTGTGCTTTTGAACTGCTAGGTTGGCAGAAGCTGGGGCAACACCAAAGTCACTTAGTTCTAAGGGCTGGTTCCTATGGTGTAGTAGTATTAGTAGTAACAGCAGCAGCAGCAGCAGTAGTAGCCATTTATTTGTGTAAGAGTACACTGGTACAACTGAAATGACTAAATGTGCATGTTACATGATGATATGTATGTGTATTGCATCAGGTAGGCATGACCAGCTGCACCTTACTGCTCCATATATGCATGAAGCGGAATATAAGTAGCTGCTGTATACCAATGCAGACTATTAGTCCACTAGTCTACCCTGACTGGCTTCAACTCTCCAGGGTTTCAGAAAGTAATCTGCCAGAGATTGAACCTTGGACTTTTTGCATGCAAAGCATGCAGCCTATCACTGAGCTATTGCACTTCCCTCACATGTTCTTAGCCAAATATTATTATTATTTATTGAATTTATATACTGCCCTATACCTGGAGGTCTCAGGGCAGTTCTCAGAACAAAAATATGATAGTGTACACAACTGAATTAATGCATACACTTTGAATCTATATATTAAATAGCACAGACAGCTCGACTGCACAGCAGCAAGTGGTTAAAACCTTAATTTTAATTTCTGTACTGGCCATTTACATAGGGAGTGCCAACATTTACATCCCTACGAACAGAGGAAAGACATGAATGTACCCGGTTAATAACTTTCCTTCATTAGAGATTTTAAATTAGAGATTTATGACCATCGATCCTGCAGATTTCTTACTTTGAGAGGGGTGGCCAGCATGGTCTTTGAGGTCTCAGACTTAACCGTGATTGTATTATTCAAACCCAATTTCAGTGGCTGATACGTCTTTGAAGATTTGGAATTCCAGCAAGGTCTAGTGAGTAAGTTTAGCAGCTATGGGATAAGAGGAGAGATCCATTTATGTTTCTGTAACTGGTTATGGAACAGGAATGAGAGGAGGAATGAGCAGACATTCTTCCAATGGAGGGATGTTGAAAGTGGTATTGGGGGATTGGTACTGGAGGCTGTGCTTTTTAATTAGTTTATAAATGCTTTAGATTTTTTAAATTAAAAAACCTTTTATTTCAGTTTTGAAATATGAATAAAAAACCCCAGAACAACAATACAGAGCAGTCATAAATGATTTACTGTTAGGGGTGAGTGGCGAGATAGCCAGATTTGGTGATGATAGCAAATTGTTCAGAAGAAAAAGTGCAAGGAGATCCAGCTAAATTGGCTGAATGGGAATTAAAATGGCAAATGTAATTTGATGTATGCAAGTGTAAAGTGATGCACACTTGGTCAAAATATCTTATTTTCACATATATGCTAGTGAGTCTCATTCTCAGGAATAAGATTGTGGGGCCATAGTGGATAGCTCAAAGAAGATGCTGACCCATGTGTTGTTGTTGTTGACATCTCAAGAGACAATGACATGTGCCTCAGGGCGTGAACTCAAACTGCTGTGTTTGCAGCCCTCAAGTGACCTTCCTGGGGCAGTGTGTGTGGAGGTCCCGGGCTGCCCAGATAACAAGACTTCTCTCTGGCCCAAAGGAAAGCAGAACAATATATTTGGCACGAGCTTGGCTGAAGGAGTTGCTGGAGGGAATGTACAAGGCACCATCCAACCATCTTAGGGACTCCACTCCAGATTTGTGTAGGGTTTACTCCTTAGCCCAGCGGCGTAGCGTGGGTTGTCAGCACCCGGGGCAAGGCAAGTAATTTGCGCCCCCTAACCCGTGGATTTGCGCCCCCTAACCTGTGGATTTGCGCCCGCTAACCCATGGATTTGCCCTAACCCCAGATGTTGCGCCCGGTGCGGCCGGCCCCCCTGCACCCCCCACGCTATGCCACTGCCTTAGCCTTTTCTTCTCTCAAAGATGTCCCGCAAGGCAGAGGAGGTTTAGGATCAGAGTTTTCCTTCTCCTAAGCTGTGAAAAAAGCAGATTCCATGTTAGCAGGGATCATTAGGAAAGGGAATTAAAATAGAACTGTCAATATCATACAATTCTATGGTGTGACCACTCTCTGAATACTGTGTACAGTTCTGGGTGCTGTACCTCAAAATGGGTATTGCAGCTCTGGAAAAGTTTCAGAAAAGAACAACCAAAATGATCCAACTCCTCTATGAGGAAAGGTTACATTTCTGGCTTTTTAGTTTAAAGAAAAGGTAAGCGGTCATATGATAGAGGTGTACAAGGTTATGCATTGTGTGGAAAAGGAGAAATCTTTCTCCCCCTCTCATACTAGAACCTGGGACCATCAAATGAAGCCCAATGTTGGAAGATTCAGGCTAGGCAAAAGAAAGTACTTCACACAACATCTGGTTAAACCATGGCACTCACTCCCACTAGTCACTTTGGTTACCTTCTATTTCCACTGTTGGAAGCAGTAGAAGAAGAAGAAGAGTTTGGATTTGATATCCCGCTTTATCACTACCCGAAGGAGTCTCAAACCGGCTAACATTCTCCTTTCCCTTCCTCCCCCACAACAAACACTCTGTGAGGTGAGTGGGGATGAGAGACTTCAGAGAAGTGTGACTGGCCCAAGGTCACTCAGCAGCTGCATGTGGAGGAGCGGAGACGCGAACCCGGTTCCCCAGATTACGAGTCTATCGCTCTTAACCACTACACCACACTGGCTCTCAGTATGCCTCTGAATCCCAGTTGCTAGAAATATCAAGTGTGGAGAATGCTATTGCAGTAAGCTCCTGCTTGTGTGCTTCCAACAGGTATCTGGCTGGTCGTTGTGAGAACAGGATGCTGGACTATGTGGGCCTTTGGTCTGAACTAGAGGGTCTCTTCTTATGTAAATGAATAAATGTATCTGGGATAACAGCATGCAGACAGGACCAGCCCCACTCCACAAACAACACCAGACATTGCTTTTTGGGGGATAACGACAAAGGGAATGGATAAGCATTTGCCAGGTGAAGGCAAGCAGTACAAGGAGAACCAGGTCACCTCTGCACCACATGGCTTCGCCCAAAGTGTAGTTTGTCAAGGGTGCTGGGAATTATAGCTCTGCAAGGGGTGGAATGCCACCCCCAGATCCGTTTGGGGGAAGCCATGTACTTTAAATGCATGGTGTGGATGTGAGCCCAGAGTGCTTTGAGCAAGGGGTCCAGAGAGCGCGGCTCCTTGTGGCCCTGGAAGTGAGCCCCTCGGATCACTGCAGAAGACGCGCCCTGCACCAGGAGGAGCCGCATCTCTCACCAAGCTTGCACAGTGGCCGGCGGGATCCTGAGCAGCACAGGGTTGCCCGCTGGAACAACAACCCCGGGGCAGCAAACTGGCTGGCGTCAACAACACAGCCAAACGCACGCCCGAGCCCCTGCTCCTCACGTTACGAGAAAGCCATTCTTCCCTATGTTCCAGCACTAAACCTTGACGTTATTTCAGAGCCCAGGCGTGTGTGCGCGCGTGTTGTTTTTTTTTTTTTTTGGGGGGGGGGAATGCTCCTGAGGAGGCCGATGCGCGGGAACCTGCCTCTTGAAAGTACGCCTCGTAGCGCTGACGGGGAGTTACTCCAAGGTTAAGCGCGCGATGCAGCGGCTTTGCAGCCGCGGGGAGGGCGAGGCGCTCTTGCAAACTTCCCCCCGCGCGTAACGTGTTGCTCGCTGGCAGCGTCCAGCATCCGAGTGCGCGCTGTCTCTCTCTCTCGCTGTTGTTGTTGCTGCAGCAGCAGCAGCTCTGGGCTCTCACAGGTGGGGGAAGCGGGGAGACCCCTCCCTCGTTCCAGAAGCGTCCGCTCCCCTCGCCCTCCTCCTCGGCGCTCTGGCGGGAGGGCGACGGCGTGGGCGGCGACGGCGCGGAGCGAGTGACTGAGGAGGGCGAGAGGCGGCGTCCGGGCTGGGGGCGGATTTTTTGAGCCGCGTCGGGCGGGCACCTCAGAGCGACGGCGGCGGCGGGTGCAGCCAGGAGGGTCACTCTGGCGCTCTGCCTGAGGTGTCGCTTGGTCGGCCGGGGAGGCAGCCTCCCCTGGGCTCTGCCGCCACCTCCATGGACGAGCACCTGAGCCTGCTGCGCTCGCCGGCCGCCCTGTCCTCCGGCAGGCACCCGAGGGGCGGCAGCAGCGGCGGCGGCGGCGGCGCTGGCGTCGTCGTCGCGGGCGTCGTCGCCGTGGGCAGCAGCCACCACAACTTGGGCTACAGTGAGCAGTTCTTCCCCGAAGGCGCGCTCTCGGGGCCCGGGGAAGGGCAGGAAGACGACGAGGAGGGCGTCGAGGAGGACGTGGGCGACGGGGAGCTGGAGGGGGGCATGACCGTGGTGGGGGGAGAGGACCCTCTGCTCGAGGAGACGCAGCACCCCCATGCCCTGCTGGGAGGGGAGCGCTACGACCACCCCTCGATGGCCCACACCCTGCCTCCCCCTGGGCATCACCAGGTGGGCAGCGGGGGGGACGCCGGGGAGCACGAGTGTTGCGAGCGGGTGGTGATCAACATCTCTGGGCTGCGCTTTGAGACCCAGCTCAAGACCCTCGCCCAGTTTCCTGAGACCCTGCTGGGGGACCCCCGCAAGAGGATGCGCTACTTTGACCCCCTCCGCAACGAGTATTTCTTTGACCGCAACCGACCCAGCTTCGATGCCATCCTATACTACTACCAGTCCGGAGGCCGCATCCGGCGCCCTGTCAACGTCCCCATTGACATCTTCTCGGAAGAAATCCGCTTCTACCAGTTGGGTGAGGAGGCCATGGAGAAATTCCGAGAAGATGAAGGTTTCATCCGTGAAGAGCAGAGACCTCTGCCTGAGAAGGAGTTCCAGCGCCAGGTGTGGCTCCTCTTTGAGTACCCGGAGAGCTCTGGACCAGCTCGGGGCATTGCGATTGTCTCAGTCTTAGTTATCCTCATCTCCATTGTCATTTTCTGCCTGGAAACCTTGCCTGAGTTCAGAGATGATCGTGACTATGACAGCACCACAGGGACATTTGGGACCAGTGGTGGACCTTTCGTGGCAGATATCTTCCCAAATTCCTCTTCTCCAGCAACCTCCATGGTGTCTTCTTTCACTGATCCTTTTTTTGTGGTGGAGACTCTGTGCATTATCTGGTTCTCCTTTGAGCTGCTTGTCCGTTTCTTTGCTTGTCCCAGCAAACCCACCTTCTCCAAGAACATTATGAACATAATTGACATTGTGGCTATTATTCCTTATTTCATCACCTTGGGCACTGAGCTGGCCGAGAGGCAGGGCAATGGTCAACAAGCAATGTCTTTGGCCATTCTCAGGGTCATCCGGTTAGTCAGAGTCTTCCGTATATTCAAGCTCTCTCGGCACTCCAAGGGGTTGCAGATCTTGGGGCAGACCCTCAAGGCCAGCATGAGGGAGCTGGGCTTGCTCATTTTCTTCCTCTTCATTGGAGTTATCCTCTTTTCCAGTGCTGTCTACTTTGCAGAGGCTGATGATCCCACGTCCAGCTTCAGCAGTATCCCTGATGCCTTTTGGTGGGCTGTAGTGACCATGACTACAGTGGGTTATGGCGACATGCACCCAGTCACTATTGGGGGCAAAATAGTAGGGTCTCTCTGTGCCATAGCTGGGGTGCTGACCATTGCCTTGCCTGTGCCCGTGATAGTCTCCAACTTTAACTACTTTTATCACCGAGAGACGGAAGGTGAAGAACAAGCCCAGTATATGCATGTAGGAAGCTGCCAGCATCTCTCCTCCACTGAGGAGCTGAGGAAAGCTCGGAGCAATTCCACTCTCAGCAAGTCAGAGTACATGGTGATAGAAGAGGGAGGCATCAGCAACAGTGCATTCAAACAGGCTGCCTTCAAAACAGGCAACTGTACAGCCACAAACAATCCAAACTGTGTGAATATTAAAAAGATCTTTACGGATGTTTAAAAGACACCTTTCAAGGATATATAAAAATATTACAGAAGGTCTCCGTAATCAGTATTGTGAGGAACATGCACCATCGTCATTCTTTGTGCTCTTGTTTAATACATGTACTTTTCTGATCCTTCTTTCTGAAGATGGGCATTTTTAGAAGGTAAAAAAACCAAACAACTAAGCAGATGTTAAGAAAGCAGATAGATAAGAGGATACAAAGAAGTCTGGGCTGCTTCTTCTAGAAACAGGTTTTTGTTCTGCGCTGTTTGTTGCCGGGCTTTGGGGTTTTGCTGGGAAATTTAGCAAAGAGCAGCTCATTTGTTGATTTTCCTTTCCTTGAATGTGTGCACTTGTTGGAATGAAAGTTATGAAGTGAAAGAAACGCGGATGCAAGTGTGTTGCAGTGAGTAGAAAATATAGGCACTGAAATTTCACAAAGCATCTCTGCCATCATGCTGCAAAATGATGCTCACATCATCTAATGCGTGTCATACGAGGGTACAGTTTTGCTTTTGTTAATGCCAGGTTAAAGCCTGTGTGCAGTCTGAATTTGCCCTAGGCATACGTATAATTGTTTTGATATAGCGAGGGGAAAGTCTTCCTTGTAAGTTTGGATTTCTTTGATCCACAGAACTACAGAATTGCTTCCTTGAATTCAAAATTCCAGCTGCACAATATAGTGGAAAATACTTCTTCCTACATCACAAGGTTGAACAATTGTCTAACTGGATCATATCCTGAGTGTTTGGCTTTCTGCATATCATGAAGTTTTAGGCTTCTGGTAAGTCACTGATGGGCTTTTCACAGTGACTGTAGCCTCAGTTGAAACCCATCGAAACCTTAGAAACAAAGGGGGCATTTCCATCCATTGCCAATGCATTTAAGATAAGCGGTTGCATCTATCACAAGAAGATTAAAGTGGCAAACACGCCTTGCAGCGGAAGTTACTAATTTGGACCTGAGTGATGCAGTTTCCATAGCAACTTTGGTTTCCTGGGAAACTCCCAAAGGTTGTCATGGCATCCATTCCCTCCCTCCCCCAGTCCTTTGCTGTTTCCATAGTAACCCTTCCAGATGGTTCGAACTTCTGTGGTTCCGCAGAAAAGCCGCTGCTCTGATCACACACACACACACCATTAATCCCTGAGAGATTTAGGTGTGGAAACTAGGCATTATTCTATATGCACCATTTGTAGATGTGCAGAATTCTAAAAGTTCTGGAGCCTATAGAAGAAGGGGAAAAAGGATGATATGGAATAGTTTTTGTTGTTCTGCACATCCTAAAAGAATCATAACATCTGTTCCATATAAAAGCAAGCTTCAAACCCTCCCTTACAATTTGGTGCCTGATAATTGAAAAGTCTATATATGCTACCTACAAAGCTGCATAGAAGATTTATAAAGATGACACCATCTCTGCTTCTTTTGATGAAATGATACATTAAATCATGGCGCATGACCTAGTTTTATGCAAAACACCCCTCCTGACACAAATGGCAGCTCCACTTTCAAAGCACGTATGGCACTGAAGAACAAGACCAAAAGCATTTATTACAGAAGGATGAAAATCTGGGGAAATAGATGCAGATGAACCCAAAAGTGTTGGGCTGAGAAATATTCAAATCATCTGGGGAATGTATACTCGTATACACACAACTGGGGCTGTGGAATATCAGACAGACACAGGTGAGCAGTTTGCTGCTGCAAGAAGTGTTATTCTTGCTTATGGTGTATAAAACATACCATCTTTGAATAATCAGACATTTCTAACCCCTTAGTTTTAAGATCAAGTCTCATTTTACTTCCTATTATTTTATTTTTTAAATGCTTAATTTCTGAAAGAGTTTTGTTTCCTGCATTTTTAGAATTGCAGTAAAGCTACCTGCTCCAAAGCATTTCTATTGATTTCAATCCAAGTGACTTCCAGAGTAAATATCAGGATATCTCTATATAGCTATTGGAATTCAGTATGTGTTGCAATATTAGCCACTAGTGCATTACTTTCTGTAACTTGATTCCACTTCTCAAAATGAATCTATAGAGCTGCAAGTTAGTTAATCATGCCAGCTATGAGGTCCTGATTCAGTGACTTTCAAGCCACCTTAAACCTTGGTAAAGCAAAATGTGTGGTAGATAATGCCTACAGACACCAGATATTCAGCCAATTTAATTTTTTAAAAATTGTTTTCAGCAAATATAGTAGCAATTGAATGGGGATACTTCTATTTGTGGTATGTGTGTACATTTTATGAGATTCAGAGCTCTACTAGCATACAATGTTATGCTTTTTGTATGAAACTATGATCTGTGTGTGGCGATCTTACTTGATCCCATTCAACATTCCCGTCTACTATTATTTTCAGCCACTAAATTCAGCACACTATGATAAATTTATTGGCCAAGCCCACAGTTATTTGTGGCACTATATGGAGCTGCAATTGAGCCTTGTAATTTTCACCAGCTGAGAACTGGGCTAATTAGCGTCGGGTGTAGAGCTGTGCCAGCGAAATCGGTCATAATAGTGTTGTCTGTGTGAATTTCAGCTTGCAAGTTTGTCTGGAGAGAAAGGATAAGAAGGAAGGGGGAGCACTATAGGAATATTGCTTTCTTCTTTTGCTTATTGGTTGAAATGGTTAAATCCTAATTTTGATGTGTGTGGAATATTATCACAAAGCAAGAACTCTTTGGCCAGGATCCAGAGAGTCACTTTGGGTGCATCCTAGGGCTTAGGCATGCCTAATGGGACTGTGAGATTTTCTCTGAGCAGCAGTCTTCTCTCTCTCTCCCCGCCCCATATCGTTCCCTCTATTTCAGTTGTTTAGGCATGAGTGCCATTGCTTTATGTAGCCAAAATGGCACCATCCATGAAAACACAGGAGCTATTACGGCACTTAGGGGAACCCAAAGGTTTACAAAAGTACAGTGGGTGGTATCCAGTCCAATCATTCCATTAGTGCAAGGATTTGTGCTTGTGCAACAGAGCTTCCCACCCCTCCCAGATCTCTGGGGCAGGGTTGAGGGAACCTCTAGAACACATCTGGGGATGGAGATGAGGGAATGTTCTGTTGCACGAGCAGAAATCCTATGTTGGATACAACCCAAATTTTGTTTTTGAGAAAAAGCTGTAAAGGTGGTGGTGATGGTGGGGAGAATATCCAAAACAGTCCAAGGACTAGAAGTGTGCAATGTGCATAGATTGTTGACTGTCAGTAGGTTGTTGTTGTTTAGTCGTTTAGTCGTGTCCGACTCTTCGTGACCCCATGGACCAGAGCACGTCAGTAGGTAGGCATAGGCAAACTCAGCCCTTTAGATGTTTTGGGACTACAACTCCCATTATCCCTAGCTAACAGGACCAGTGGTCAGGGATGATGGGAATTGTAGTCCCAAATCATCTGGAGGGCCGAGTTTGTCTATGCCTGGTTAGTAGGGATGAGATGAGGGAGAAATGGAAAATCATGGAGGAAGGTAGGGCTGGAACAGTGAACAGGAGCTCTCCATGGTGCAACATTTCATTGCAAGTCCCATGCGCCCCAAACTACTTTGGAAATTTCTCCTTGGTTCCAAAAGAGGCCACGCAGCATGGGGAGATATGATTGGCAGAACTAATTGCATTGTTCTTTGGATCTAGGCCATTAAGATGAATAGGAACTCCCAGCTCTAGGAATAAGTGATGTGCATTATTCTCATTTTATGTTCAGGGTTTTTGCTTCACCCACAAGGTGAGAATGAGGACTTTGAGAAGATGACATTGCTTCAGTTTTTTTTACTTGCACCCAGAACATATGAATCCATGTATTCCAAAGGAAAGATCTATTACACAGAAGCCATACATATTGTAAGCATAGAGAAGGCTCTTACTTCAAAAGGAGATCCTTTGCATGTTTGTGTTGTTTTTTTAAAACTGTTTGTGATTATCAGGGTGAGAAATTCCAAGCTATTGTTTCTGGTGGACATCAAAAAGTCAGCTCAATAGTGACAGAGTATCACTGTCAATGATGGCCCTATTCCCAAATGAAAGGAGGGATCTTTTTAAAATAGTGCCACCTAAGTGGCTGTTTCTTCCTCTTTAGTAGCATACCTGCAAAGTACTGTATTACAAAGACCAATTTTCAAGCCAGTTGGTCTGTTATTTTCCTGTTTGTTTAATGCTGATTTTACTATTAAATATATACCCTGCATTCTCAGCACAGAGGGTGTCACAGTAGTGGCAAAGGCAAAAAGATACTGAAACTGGGGCCCCATTTTTATAGCCATAAACTCCGTTCCTAGGTTACTGTTTCCCTGGGAAGAGGGCCAGGGGGCAATTTTGATTAGGAAAAGAGTATGGGGAAAATAGTCTAATATTCCATCCTTCCCTGTGCTGCTGCAAAGAAATTTGCAGCTCCCCACTCCACATGGCTGCATTTCAGTAAGAACAAAAATCAGATCGAATCATGGTCCTCCCACATAATGCACAGTTTGGCCTTTTGCCCCAGCCACTGAACACAGATCTCATGTATCAAAACTATAGCATGGATCTCCATCACTGTCTAGAGAACTAGGGACCAACAGGTGGGGACATATCACTGTGTCTTAATAGTTTTTGTTGTAAGTCAATCCAGGGCCTCCTTTTGGGGCCAAAAAGCAGTAAATAAATGATCCAATGAATGAAATGAATGGCACGAAATGAGCACTGTTCACAAACAACGCACACCCCAAAGTCAAGGATAACAAAGAAGATATGAAGGACTGATGAGCAACACTTGTCTTCTCAGAATTCCTCTGCCTTGGGACTCCAGATGCAAACTTCAGCTCTAAGCCTGCAACCAGAGCTGCAAGGAAAAAGCACCCCATAAGAGGTAGGCAAGGTCAGGTGGTTGTTGGGGGTCACCAGGGAGGGGGGCATTATGTTTCATCATATGATGCCTACACTTCTTCTCCAACTCTCCCAATAAAAGTGATGGCCACCCATGGCCTCAAGAGTGTCTCCCATCAATCCCTGGGAAACTTTTAACTTTACAAGCTTCCCTTCACAGCAGACAGCTGTGGGACACAGGATAAATATACACAGTGTAGAAAGGGGACTTCTGTTTATTCCAGATGTTGGTGAGCTTCCACAAAGCACCAATGAGTGCAGTGGATAACAGCCACCTTTGCTACTGAATGCTAGGCACTTATCTCTGTCTATTGCTGCAGCTGGCAAAACACTCATGATGTATTTTCTCCACTCCAGTACAGCCAGAGCATACAGAACAAAAGAAGCTGCAAACTGCAGACAAACATTCCAGTCCCTACAATGGACAGGTGAGTGTTCTTGCAATGACTGCATTGTCTTCCCCTACAGGAGAAGCTTCCAAACATAGAGTGGGAGAGTGGCCTGCCAGTGGGAGAGTGGGAAGCTGAGGTGAGGCATGCAGGGTGAAAGAGCACCTAGTGATAGCATCCTTTGTTGCCTCTGCTCACTCACCTACCCATAATGGCACTTAGTCACTGGACCTATCAGTTGCTGCTGATCCCCATTATTCATTACCATCCCATACTTGTCTCCCTGTAGGCAACAAGGCAGCCATTCCATATTCTGAGAGGCAAGGATGATTCCCATCCCTAGTATCATGCAGACCACAAACGGCACCTGCAGCAAGCAGCAACAATAACAATAACTAGTTGAAGACAGATATGCCTTTGTTGGGCTACAGCTTTTCCATCAGGTGTGATATCCCATAATGTAAACAGGGGTAGCCAGCATGAATAGTGATAAGGAAACCTGCATCTATTACTCTTCTTTCTCTTGCAGTTTCCAAGCATACAGAAATCCTGCAAGAACGCAAAGACAACAGCCTTGATTCTTCTGTGTTGCTGTCAGAACTTATACCTGCCACTGATATGGTTTAATAAAAGCTGGGATGTTGTGAAGCTGTGTTTCAGCTTTGTCTGTTTTCTCATGACGCTTGGCAGGTAGGGAACCATCACCCTCCAATTTTTGCTCTGCTCAGTTGTCTCCCAAGAGAGGCACACAAACTAGGCAAGGGAACAGTGAGTTCCTTGCTACAACAACACAGTAGGACTGTGGATCAGCATCTTGCCTATAGCTTTGAAATAGAAGTACTAGTAATGGCGAGTGGGTTGCCTCCTCTACCTGACTTTCTCTGTGATGAAAAACCTACCAACTGGGCTGCATGGAGAGAGGGAATGCAGGGGTGGCTGTGGGTCAAACTGATCACAAGGTCGTATGGGACACTAACCAACACATGCAGCAGTTGTTGAAATGAATGTATTTCTGAATGGGATGAAGTAGGCCTGGCAAAATGAGAAGTGTTCTGGAGTATGAATGAAACAGAGAGAGAAACGATTGGTCTGTGCAAATGACATTAACTGGATATCTCATTGCTCTGTCTTGGTTTGTCTATGGTTCTTCCCAACCATTTCTCCTGGGATTCTGTAGCTAGTAGTGACTCTGAAGGCTTTGGCATGCTGCATCTGTGCTTTTCCATTGGGTTATGGATGCACATAGTGCTCCTTTGGTCCACATGACTAGGAGCCTTCGTGTGCATTGGGGTGCTTGAGAGGAATAAGTGGCATGTCATAGGAGACTACAAAGGGCCCTCCATAAGTTATTCTGTGCACACCTTTGGCTTGGTGGTCAAAGTGTAGCTTTGGGTTCTGGTCTTGTTGTTTTCCCTGTCTGCTGGCTAGACACATAAAATGTAGGCTGTGCCTGGTAAAGATCATATTCACATCTCTCTGAATTTTGGTTTGAGATCTCATTTTGTTTTCCCCTCTGTTTTGCTCCTTCCCAATGACCTGCTAAGCAGCTCACAATACTTTCTGCCATGGGTCTCCTGTTGTAGCATTCAACCTCTCCCCACTTTCCCCTGAAAAATGCTGTCTCTCCTCACATTCACAGCAATGCAAACACACTTTGTCTTGAATGGAGGCATTGATCCTCTCCATTGAGACTGAAACCTTCCTCCTGAGATCTCCTCTGGCTTCTTCATGCAGGTCTCCTATGCAGAGTGCCATGACAGCTTACGCAGGAGGAGTCACTGTGGTCTGCTTTTTATGTCTGATACTGAGCAGTGCAAAAGCTGTGTGCATACTGGTTTAGGTGACATAATGAGGTCATTTGCTCATTTATTCATTTATTGAAGATACGTGCTGCCCTTCAGTTTACGAAACCTAGCCTAATTTCAGGAGGCACTTAAAGGACTCTGAAGATGATAATGACAGTTAGGCTTCTCTCTCTTTGTTCCCTACAAATGTTGTACCTCCACAACTCTTGTGACCCCTGACCATTAGGCATGCTGGCTGGGACTGATGGAAGTTGTTAGGTATCAAGGATATGTGGAAGGTACCATGTTGGGGAAGGCTACACAGTTGTCCGTGCTGATGCTTTCTATCTATGCAAGGAACTATGCAACTTTCCATTAGCTCAGATTAAGGGTTCTGACAGAACTTTCAAAAGATGCTCATGTGTTATAGTCCCCAGATGGATGGAGTCTCTAGATTTGGTGTATGTGTCTGATGTAGTGCATATATGGTGCTACCAAGAGGCAATTGATATTGGAAACTGGTGAAGAAAAGGAATGGGTGTGTTTGGTCCAGCCTGTTTAGAATTTTTTTATAGAAAACTTGCAATTTGAGTGGTACCTGAAAAACAATAGAAAGCCATTGTAGGTGCTGAGACTTTGACACAACCCAATGTTGCATTTTATGCTAGTATATCCTGCTCTAGCTGATTTTTTCATAGTCATAAGGGGCAGCCCATCATAGATAATGTTACAGAGCCTTTGTTTGAGGTTACAGAAGCATGGCTAATTGTTGATGAGTGCCAAGTCAACATCTCATAGAAAGGTTCACAACCTTCTTGCCAGGTGAAATTGCTGGAAAGCTTGATGCATTTGATTGATGCAATGCTGTCTTAACAACCTTGCAAACAAATCAGAATGATTGATCAGTAAATAGCTGATGCCATTTAAACTTTGTGCAGACAAATCAGAATGAATGTTTAGGGTCATCTGGAAGCAACCCAAGTCTTCACATGATGGTGCCAAGTGGCTTTACATATGTGTATGAGCAGGAAGGGTCAAGATCAATCTTGTGTCCCCAGAGGGAAGTGATAAGGGAAATCCCCAGAATCACCTGCTGGTACCTTGTTGAGAAGAACAAGTAGAACCAGTCAAGGATGGTCTCACTATATCAGGTGTGGGAAGTCTGTGTCCCTCCACATATTGTTAGACTACTACAACCATCATTCCTGATATTGGCTATGCTGGCTGGTGCTGATGGGAGTTGGAGTCCAACAACATCAGGAGGGCCACAGATTCCCCACCCTTGCACCAGATATTGTAGTTGCCCAGTATCCTGTGTTGAATAATATGAATATAGCAGAAAAATATCTCAGGATGAATAGAGTGCTACTGTTACCTGTATCAAACACTAGATAAAGATTGCTTGCTGAGCAAGGCTGCAAATGCCCTAGTCCAAGCTAAACAATCCAGAAATCTGATAGTATCCAGAAAAAGATGAAGTTGAAAACTAATTGTTCACTTGACATTATTCTACAAAAGGGGAAGGTTAAAAATGAGGCAGTAACTGGCTGGGGAAATTTGCATTTCGGTTTCGTTTATTGAGTAGAAGCCAGACAACTACAGGCCACCTGGCGTCCTTCCCTCCCTGAAAGGTGTATTAATATCCCCAGGCAGTTTCTACTAGGCAGGATGGGCATAGACCCAGGTCACAGGTGGTAACCTACATACTTTTAAATTCCCTGCACATCTCTGGGTGAAGCCAACTGATACCAATCCAAATCCAATGGACTAGGGTGAGCTTTGGATACATACTATGTAAATTCCATTCAGAATTACCTACCCTGAATATGCTTACCTATACCATTAAGGCTATCAAGTTGGTCACTCCCCACCCTCGCCAGTGTTCAGACTCTGTAGTTAAATCTACATATATTCATAGTAAAGGCTTCATAGATTGGGAGCCAATGCACTCAGACGTGGCTAGGTTATTACATATGAAAAGAGATAATGAAGTGTAGCATAACTTGTTTCTCTCTGTGTCTAGTTGTAAGATTTCTGCTAATGACTCCTTTGGGGATCAGTATGAGGCCCTCTTTAGACATCTGCAGATTCTTCCTCTTGCTCTTTTGACCTTTGGTATTTTTCTCTCTGCAGATATTTAATAAAGAGTGGTAGATCTGCAAGGTCTGTATGACTAGATAATCAAATAAATTGTGACCTGCTTGTTTTCTTTGAGATCATATGAGGACAATGTCAGTGCAGATTCATCCCTTGAGTCATCTTGCTCACCTTTCGCCATACATCCTGCTGGCAGCTTCACACATCTCCAGCTTGTTGCCAGTGCTATTAAATTGAAAGTGCAAAAAATAGGTTAAAACAGGTACCTTAAGCATGGCTCCTGTTTGGCAGGCTGCACACGGTGGAGAAAATACATTTAGATTTCAGAATTGGATGAGAACTGAATGCAAATCAGTCCCTGTTCCAAAGCGTTGTGCTGCCAGCAACCCTAAAACATTTCCATCTGGTGCTCCACCTTTTCTTTCATGGTGCAATGAAGTGGCGGTCTTGAGAGATGAATATGCATCCTGATTTTGCCTCAGGCAAAAGTTAAAACATTTCCATTTCAAGTATAAACCCCCAGCTGGCTAATACTGTTGCTTTTCTCTGTCTGTAATCCTGTGCACATGTATTTGGGAGTTGGCCCCTGCGACTTCAGTGGGTCTTATTTCTGTGCACAGACTTGGTCTGCACAAAGTGTTATACTGATAGCAAAAGGGGAAACCTTGCAATGGATTGTGGCTCTTTAAAAAAACATCCCTTATTTCTTATGTGACTATTTGATTAGACTTCGGTGAGCTTAATGCTTCTTTGCCACTAATTTTACCAATCCTTCTGTGATGGACATTTATGCACAATCCTTGGATTTTGGGTTCCAGTAAGCCCCGTAGTAACACACTGCCAAACATTCATGCATGAAAATACCCCTCTAGTCTTTGTCATTTCATCTTTGTTTTATGAATCGAGATACATGCTCAAGTAAATGTAACTTGACTTGTAACAGGCTGAACTGTGGAAAGCTTTTGTGTTCAGCTTGCCAGTCGATATAACTATGCTTCTCACCCATAAGAGCAAAATGCATAAAGTCCTACAAGATCTGCCCCCTGCTTTGCTGACCTGTTTCTACCTGCCCTGGGTGGGATCCTGACTGAACCCTGCTGTAAAAGGAGGTCAAGAGATAGGAGATCTGGATCCTTGTGGGACACTGAAGGGGCCAGAGACTAACTTAACCATGAGTCCCACAAGGCTCCAGATCTCCTATCTCTTGACCTCCTTTTTCAATTTGTATTTATTAAGGACCACATTGCTTACAGGGCAGTGGAGGATGCAGCAAAAACACAATGTTAGAACCAGTGTGAACTGACTTAGAGACCTAAATTTGCACTATACATTTGTTTATGCGAATTTCATACAGATACATACATTTACATGTCCTGACTCTTAACTATCTAGCAAAACTCATGTCTAAACTATCTTGAAATTAAAACACACTCAGTATTGACATATCTCTCTGAGGGTTCCTCCATATTACCTATTTATTGAGCATCCTGATTTACTTTCACAAAGCTTGTGTGAAGGTTAGATTATCTGGTCATTCTGTTTGTTTGCATGGTAGTTATATGACAATGAGCATTCATCCTGATTTGTTTAAGGGGTGTTTATATGTCTTCCCGCTGGCCATTCATTCCACATTTTTCAATGTATTTCCAGTCACTTTCCTAATGCTGAAAAGTTTGTTTCTTTGTTAAAGTGGATTTTCTGTGCTAGGTGCATCTGTAAACTTGTGATTACTTGTGGGTGCATTCAGTAACATGTCTGTCCCATGTATCTAGGGAGGACCATTTCCAGACTATCAATGTTTTTGGGTGG